CATACCTTGTACCTCACAACACAACTGATTGGCTCAAACGCATTAAGAAGGAAAGAAATTCAAAAAATTAACTTTTAAGAAGGCACACCTGTTAATTGAAACGCATTCCAGGTGACTACCTCATGAAGCTGGTTGAGAGAATGCCAAGAGTGTGCAAAGCTGTCATCAAGGCAAATGGTGGCTATTTGAAGAATCTCAAACACAACATATATTTTGATTTGTTTTACACTTCTTTGGTTACTATATGATTCCATATGTGTTATTTCGTAGTTTTGATGTCTTCACTATTATTCTACAATGTAAAGAATAGTAAAAATAAAGAAAAACCCTTGAATGAGTAGGTGTGTCCAAACTTTTGACTGGTAGTGTATGTCAGGAGTTAAATGCACACAGGACATCTGATCGATACGCCCTCTGTTTTCCGCTCACTCTGCCCCAATCACATTTGCTCACTCTTCCCCAATCACATTATCTCACTCTGTCCCAATCACATTCTCTCACTCTGCCCCAATCACATTCTCTCACTCTGCCCATACTTGGAATAATCCCCCTGGACTGGACCTGTCCACTACCCAGACCCTGGCTGTCACGCCCTGGCTCTGGGGACTCTAGTATGTTGAGCCAGGGTGTGAGTTTTCATGTGTTTCTGTTCTAGTATGTTGTATTTCTATGTTGGCCAGTGTGGTTCTCAATCAGAGGCAACGTGTATCAGCTGTTGCTTGTTGTCTCTGATTGAGAACCATACTTAAGCAGCCAGTTTTCCCTCAGTGTTTGTGGGATCTTGTTCCAAGTAGGTTGTGTTTGTCTAAGGATGTCACGTTATCGTTTTGTTGTTTTGTTCAGTAACTCACTAATAAATATGCTTGCAAATAATGCTGCGCATTGGTCCTCTGTTCCCGACGATCGTGACAGAAGATCCCACCAAAACTGGACCAAGCAGCGTGTCCAGGAGCCATCGCCAGGGGAATCGCTAGCGGATCTCCGGGGCAACCTCGACTGGGTCAAGCCTAGTGAAGAGCAGAGAGGGTGGACTTGGGAGCAGTGGAGGAAGAGTCTCGACTGGGTCAAGCCAAATGAAGAGCAGAGTGGTTGGACTTTGGAGCAGTGGAGGAAGAGTCTGGCGAGAGATAGGGAGGCTTGGTCCACAGGGAGGAGAGACACCCAGAACGTTTTTAGGGGGGGGCTCACGACGGGGCAGCAGGAGGCCGCGATGGAGCGGTCCAGCGGGTTTGCAGAGGAGGCCGCCAGGTTAAGGGGGCCACTGGTCACAGAGGAGAGGGAGAGTGTAGAGGCACGGCGAGAGGTACTGGGGTGTGTTACCAGTCCGGTCCGGCCCGTTCCTGATCCCTGCGTAGGGCCAGTGGTGTGTGTCCCCAGTACGGTCCTGCCTGTTCCTGTTCCTCGCATCGAGCCTGTGGTACGTGTCGTCAGCCCGGCCCGGCCTGTTCCTGCTCCCCGCACCAAGCCTATGGTGCGCGTCGCCAGCCCTGCCCGGCCTGTTCCTGCTCCCCGCACCAAGCCTATGGTGCGCGTCGCCAGCCCGGCCCAGCCTGTTCCTGCTCCCCGCACCAAGTCTATGGTGCGCGTCGCCAGCCCGGCCCAGCCTGTTCCTGCTCCCCACACCAAGTCTATGGTGCGTGTCGCCAGCCCGGTCCGGCCCGTTCCTGCTCCCCGCACCAAGCTTATGGTGCGCGTCGCCAGCCCGGCCCGGCCTGTTCCTGCTCCCCGCACCGAGCCTATGGTGCGCGTCGCCAGCCCGGCCCGGCCTGTTCCTGCTCCCCGCACCAAGCCTATGGTGCGCGTCGCCAGCCCGGCCCGGCCCGTTCCTGCTCCCCGCACCAAGCCTATGGTGCGCTTCGTCAGCCAGGCCCGGTCCATTCCTGCTCTCTGCACCAAGTCAGTGGTGCGCTTCGTCAGCCCGGTCCGGCCCGCTCCTGCTCCCCGCACCAAGCCTATGGTGCACGTCGCCAGCCCGGCTCGGCCCGTTCCTGCTCCCCACACCAAGCCAGTGGTGTGCGTCGTCAGTCCGGCACAACCCGTGCCTGTTCCACCGGTGCCTGGTCCAGTACCGGTCAGCTGCTCCACGCCGGAGCTAGAGCAATCCGCTCCACCAGTGTTCAGTCCAGCTCCGGCCAGCAGGGCCAGACCGGACCAGGGGTACTTTGGGGGGTTAGAGAGGGAGTGGGGATCATGCCCGGAGCCGGATCCGCCGCCAAGGCGGAGTGCCCACCCGGTCCCTCCCCTGTGGTGTTTGGTTGGCGCGGTCGGAGTCCGCGCCTTTGGGGGGGGGGTACTGTCACGCCCTGGCTCTGGGGACTCTAGTATGTTGAGCCAGGGTGTGAGTTTTCATGTGTTTCTGTTCTAGTATGTTGTATTTCTATGTTGGCCAGTGTGGTTCTCAATCAGAGTTAACGTGTATCAGCTGTTGCTTGTTGTCTCTGATTGAGAACCATACTTAAGCAGCCAGTTTTCCCTCAGTGTTTGTGGGATCTTGTTCCAAGTAGGTTGTGTTTGTCTAAGGACGTCACGTTATCGTTTTGTTGTTTTGTTCAGTAACTCACTAATAAATATGTTCGCAAATAACGCTGCGCATTGGTCCTCTGTTCCCGACGATCGTGACACTGGCCTATAGGAGCTGGGAGACCCTCACTACAGTATTAGTAAACTAGATTAGCCAACCCAATCGCCAAATAAAACGCTAACCTGTGGCGTAACTGCCGCAACAGAATTACGCCATGTGCTGCTGTATATTAGCTGTCATAGAATCTACGCCATGGCTTGACGTTTTAATTACGCCATTTAGTGCCGTATCTTAGCTGTCAGCCAAACTCTTAGCTGTCAGCCAAATAAAAAAAATTAAACAAAAACTTAAGTTTAGGCATTAATTTCGAATGGTCAAGTTTAGGGTTAAGGTTAGTGATAGGGTTCAACTTAAGTTAGGCATTAATTCCGTGGTTAAGTTAAGGGTTAAGGTTTTGGGAAAGGCTTAAAACCTAGCCTAGCACCCGACCCTCGGAGCCAGAGTCTGCGGCTTAAACGCCCATCCACCATCCCCATCCACAACACCCTAGCAAGCCACAAACCTACTAGATGGTAATAGGCACTCATGTTACCCCTAGTGGATGGTATAGCTTCCACATTTCGCCAGGTCCAAACGTAATCTGGTACATGCAGAATCGACACCTCCAGGCATATTCCATAAGAGAATAGGCTGCTAAACCCAAACTACAGTTAAGCTGGAAATGTCACACCACAGTGTAATAAACACAGACAGGCATTTTCAATTCTTTATTCACTTTCCTTTTTGTATTATGTTTTACTGAATACTAATTAATTGCTGTGAGTACTTGTCAAAATAACCCTTGTCCTGAAATTCCTCTGATCTTGTCAGTGGAAATCATGAGCCTTAAGGCTGATCTCTAACCAGCTTAGCTAGCGTCTTCACTCTTCATTGCCAGAGCCCATTCTGCCACACATCGAGGGATACTTATTAAGGGTGTCGGACAGGAAGAGAGACAACGAGAGAGGATAATCACAATAATTATATTTCAAGAGATTAACTTTCACTCTTTTCTCTCCCATTATGATATCAAACCTTGTGGGTGTGTGTGTTTATGGCCAGACATGAGGAGATGAGGCAACAGGATAGGCGAGGCTCTCACTGCAAAAAGTGAAATGGAAGAAAGCCTAAATATCTTATATTGAGTGATAATTATTTTTTTATTTTTTATTAAGGTAAAATATCTTTAAAAATCGCTTTAAAAAAGATTCTTAAAATGTGTTACTTTTTAACCATTTTCATGTAGACTTGATTGTGTGTTTTGGATTATTGTCTTGCTGCATGACCCAGCTGCGCTTCAGCTTCAGCTCACAGACAGATGGCCCACAAATGTTGCTGAGTTAAAGTAGTTCTGCATGGAAGAGTAGGCCAAAATTCCTCCACAGCGACGTGAGAGACTGATCAACAACTGCAGGAAGCATTTTGTTGGAGTTATTGCAGCTAAAGGTGGCACAACCAGTTATTGAGTGTAAGGGGGCAATTCCTTTTTCTCACAGGGGCATTGGGTGTTGCATAACGTTGTTTATGAAATAAATGAAATAAGTATGTCATTGTTGTGTTATTTGTTCACTCAGGTTCCCTTTATTTAATATTAGGTTATGGTTGAAGATCTAACATTCAGTATAAAAAATATGCAAAAGTAGAGAAAATTAGAAAGGGGGCAAATACTTTTTCACAGCACTGTATATGAAAATGGCACATTTCTATGATCTGTGGTTAAAAAGATAAGAAAGGTCCTAAAAAATGCTCACAGGGTAGGATTAAAAATAAGAAACAGTGATTTTCAAAACCTGCAACGAGTTTCTAGCTAGAGGGAGAGTATTATTTTGCTCTCCACATCACTGCGAATCTCAGTGTTTGAAAAGTGTTTAAACTTTTGATGATGTCATCGGGTAGAACGGTGTAGTTTTTTGTTGTTGTTGTTGACAAAACGTAGAAATGCGCTGTTTTCACATATATAGACACTGGTATTGTGCTGGAGATCATGAAAATGAGGTTGAAAATGGTTGGAGTTGCCCTTTAAGGTTAAAATAAGCAAAATTATGTTCGATAATTAAGCTTGGTAAGAAAAAAACTGAAAACCCCCCACAATTTTAAGTGAATTATCACTCAATATAAGATATTTAAGCTTGCTTAGATTTCACTTTTTGCAGTGCTGTGATTAGCACACTGTTGATAAAGCATTGCTGTTTACCAGAGGCATGCCTGTCCTGTCCCATTGCTTGACATCAGTGCTGTTGTGGCAGCATTTGTTTAAAAGCAACTTTACAGGTAAATTCTACATACAAAAGCAACATTGTAACCTTTTAAGTCTTGCTTTCACACTTGCTTTCACACTGCAATAAATATTCTCATTGAGACACACTCCCTTCTTTGAGAAGATGATTGGATGACTATAGCATCCTGAACAGAATTTGCTATCAGTGGGTGGGTGTTAGAGATGTTCATGTTAGACTTGTCCAGTGTTGGGGTTAGTTTCTCATGTTATATGACTGGCTTTGTTTGTGATGGCAGGTCTGCACGGGACAGTGATGATGAGGATGATGAAGACCGGAGAGGAAGGAGCTGCACGTTACAGTACCAGAATGCCATGGTTCGAGTGTTGACACACTTTGTGACCGAATCCGCCGACCCCCGTGGTCAACTGACCTTCATGCTGGGCAGTGATTGGCAAGTGGACATCACTGGGCTGGTGTGGGACTTCCTGAAGGTGGAGGACCCCCAGATAGCTCAGCTACAGGACGGACACATACTGGTGGGACTAGACATGGGGATGACCACCATCCAGGTACGCTGTATGTGTGTTATGATCAGGTGTTTCAGTACAACGGATGAGTAAAAATAAACAGAACAAGTTTGACTAGAGAGAGGAGTGAGGGGAGGTGGAAGGAGCTGGAAAATAGAACAGTAAAACATCCCTGTCTGTTTTAATAATAGAGCTGAAAATACCTTAAAAACAGTCATCTGAAGTCAGTCATAACAATGGGATTTGCAAATGTCGAGTGGAGTAGATAAAATCTATATTAGTGCAGTCAGTCAGCCAGCCAGACAGGTTGTTATCAATGGTCCCATGTCTCCAGGTCTGGACTGTGGTGACAGCAAATGGGGCCTCACCCTGGTGCAGAGCGTAAGCATGTCATCTCTCACTAGCAGGGTCCCTTCATTTTTCAGCCTCCACTGGCTAACTGGATAAATAGCAGTTAGTTAATGATATCTGTGTGAAACAAATCAGCATCTTGACAGTGTGGACTCATCCATCTGTCTGCAGGCAGATGTGCCCTCACCTCCACACTCATCACTACCCATCCTCTGGCTCCCACCTCCCGTTAGGCTGGGCACAGAGGAAAACCCTCCCCAGCCCAAAAGCACGAGATGAGACAGGCCAAAACTTGGAATACCTGTCTGTCACACCTATTTCCTCACAAAGAGCTAGAGAGGGATCTCAATGAATGGGTACACAGGGAAAGATCTATTTATTTTCAAAATGAAATTAGGGATGCACTAATTGGATTACCAGGAAAGGTCCATTAACATCAGGTCTCTGCCTACTCCAGTGTGTATTGCTGGTGGTTTTCTCTTCACATCATCATTTGATTAATGTTTCCTGGATAAACACCTGACAATGAATAGTGGAAGGGCTTGTTCAGGTCACTCCATTTACAGACAAATAACTCAATCTATATCCTTGTCAAATTAAATGGAAGCCAGCATAATGTTGGAAGGCATCAAGGTCAGAGCTGAGAATCACTGCAGGATTTACAGAGCGTCTCCCTACTTAAACAAGGTAACATGGTTGTGTGACAACACTGTGAAGGTGATGTTTGACGTCCACACAGCTGTGAGCACATGGATGTGAATGAGTGTGTGTTGCATAATGCACACGGTTATACCAGGCTTTTATATATCTAATATAAAAGCCTGTGTTTTGAAAGACCCGCTCACCTCACATCCCCTCTGATGTTTTCTTGGGGAAAAAAGTCACTTGTTTCTTTCAAAGAGTAATGCTTTTCATGTCCCATCTTTAATCTGGATTAATTCCAAGGGTTTCTCTCTCTCTCTCTCTCTCTCGCTCTCCCCCTCCCTCCTTCCTTCCCTCTCCCTTGTGTTGTCCCAGGTCCTGTCCCCCCTGTCGGACTCCATCCTGGCAGAAAAGACGGTGACGGTAGTGAATGAGAAAGTGACCATCACAGAGCTGGGGGTGCAACTGGTCACCGGCCTGGCTCTGAACCTGCAGCTCAGCCCAGGAAGCAACAGGGCAATCCTCGCCACGGCAACCACACAGGAAGTGCTGCAGAGCCCAAAACAGGTCTGTTCAACATACTGTAGAGATCTTTGGAAACGATCAGTTAACATCCCTTTGATTAAAAAGGTGATTTAAGAAACAGTTTATAGTAGATTATTTAATGTAAGCCTTGACTGTTTGGATCCCCTTTCACACAATTGCAGTCCTTTAATGTAAACATTCAGTAAGTACTGTGAATACGTGTGTGTGTGTGTGTGTGTGTGTGTGTGTGTGTGTGTGTGTGTGTGTGTGTGTGTGTGTGTGTGTGTGTGTGTGTGTGTGTGTGTGTGTGTGTGTGTGTGTGTGTGTGTGAATGCCTGTGCTTGTTTGTTCGTTCCACTGCATTCCTAACCCTCTTAACTCCAACTCTTGAAAAGCAGAGTGTGACAGAATGTGTTTCCTTAGGCATCTAATAGAAAGGGAAGCTTAATCTCAGAGTGTGTAAAAGTTTCTGTAAGAAAACACAATTTACAGGCCGAGCTCTTGCTGTCCTATCGTCTTTCGCCTCACTTTCTCCCTTGCTCTCCTTCTCTTGTGAACGCTTTGATCCCTTTCTCTTTCTAGAGAAAGGATAGAATGGAGGACAGGCTAGTTTTATCAGTCCGATCTCTGTAGGGATGATGTCCGTGCGGGGATAAGCGTCCAGGAATTCCCCTAGAGGATCTGTAATTAGAGAGCAATTGCAGCCCACAGGGATCTCCTCCCCTGCTCCCGGGGATTTGTCCTGTGGCCATATTAAAGAGCAAATTGCAGAAAGGGACTTAAGATGCTTGTCTGTGGCAAACCTCATTTGCTGTCTTTAATGTGACTGTCTGATACTGTATTTTCCCTATCTTTTAATCTGTGTCCCCTCAGCTCTCTGAGCACCACAGGAGGTTGGTGGCACCTTTAATTGGAGGGGACGGCTCGTGGTAATGGCTGGAGCGCAATAGGTGGAATGGTATCAAATTTCATTCGCTCCATTCCAGCCATTATCATGAGCCGTCTTCCCATCAGCAGCCTCCACTGCTGAGCACAGCACTGTTAGCGAAACAGTGGGTCTTTAGTGAGCTATCCCCTACCTTATGATTCCCACTAATGTAATACACTATATGACCAGAAGTTTATGGACACCTGCTCGTCGAACATCTCATTCCAAAATCATGGGCATTAATATGGAGTTGGTCCCCCCTTTGCTGCTATAACAGCCTCCACTCTTCTGGGAAGGCCTGGCTCGCAGTCGGTGTTCCAATTAATCCCAAAGGTGTTCAATGGGGTTGAGGTCAGGGCTCTGTGCAGGCCAATCAAGTTCTTCCACACTGATCTCGACAATCCATTTCTGTATAGACCTCGCTTTGTACACAGGGATTTGTTATGCTGAAACATAACAAATCCCACAAAGATGGAAGCACAGAATCGTCTAGAATGTAATTGAATGCTGTAGCGTTAATATTTCCCTTCACTGGAACTAAGTAACCTAGCCCAGACCATAATTCCTCCTCCACCAAACTTTACAGTTGGCACTATGCATTGGGGCAGGTAGCGTTCTCCTGGAATCCGCCAAACCCAGATTAGTCCATCGCACTGCCGGATGGTGAAGCGTGATTCTTCCATTGCTCCAGAGTCCAATGGCGGCGAGCTTTACACCACTCCAGCCGACGCTTGGCATTGTACATGGTGATCTTAGGCTTGTGTGCGGCTGCTTGGCCATGGAAACCCATTTCATGAAGCTCCAGACGAACAGTTCTTGTGCTGACGTTGCTTCCAGAGGCAGTTTGGTGTTGCAACTGAGGACAGATTATTTTTACGCGCTACGCACTTCAGCACTCTGCGGTCCACCTGTCAGCAACAGGTGTGGCTGAAATAGCTGAATCCACTAATTTTAAGGGGTGTCCACATACAGTACTTTTGTATATATAGTGTATATGGCTCTTTATGACTCACAGTGCTGTAGTCCTACATTTCTAAAAATGCTAAAAAATTTACACAAGTATATTTTGTTGCTGTAATTTTACATTCTGATCCTTTGAACCTTGCACGTTTGAAGTCTCCAGTAGTCAGGCAACTTTGTTTGCTTTCTTGTTCCTGTGATAGAAACGTTTCACTCAAGGAAATGGTTTGATTTCTTTAATTCTGGCAGTTACCAATTACTCTGTACAGTGATGTATAAGATAAGCTTGCCTAATGAAATAATAGCACAGGAACATTTCTGAAATAGGCTCTGTCTCATTTATACATTCTTACAACTAATGAATAAATGGGTTTTAAATTGGTTTTAAAATTATTCTCTACTAATGGTGAGGTTGTTGCTCTACAAAATGTGATAATGTGACCCTGTGTGAGGACGTTGTCAGTGTTACATTGGGTGGTCCTCTGTAGCTCAATTGGTAGAGCATGGCGCTTGTAACGCCTGGGTAGTGGGTTCGATCCCCGGGACCACCCATACGTAAACTGTAAGTCGCTTTGGATAAAAGCGTCTGCTAAATGGCATATTATTATATTATGTTTTTCTTTTCTTTTTTCTTTGCTCTTGTTTGTGTGTGGTTATGTGTGTATTACCTACTCACTGTCTGTGTGTGTTTTGTGTGTGTTTGTATAGGAGGCTCTGATCAGCGCGTGGCTACACTTCAGTGATGGCTCCATGGCTCCTCTGGATCTGTACAACCCAGACTACTTTGTCCTGACGGCCACATCTCTGGATGAGGAGGTGGTGACAGTGCAGCAGGACCCCTCCTGGAAGTGGCCTGTGATCGTGACTGAGGCCGAGGGCCAGGGCCTGCTGGTCAGGGTGGAGATGACCGTCTGTGAGCTCTGCCAGAAGTTCAAGCGGCGCAGCGTTTTGGCTGCAGGGAACTGCAACGTCAAGGTGAAGTTTGGCCAGAGCGACAGTGGCACCTCCAGAAGCAGTGACTACGGGCCGGAGGGCGAGGAGCTGGAGAACAGGGCCAGCGACCGCAGGCAGCAGTCCCCCTTCCAGGACAGGACTGGATTGGAAGCCCACTACTACGGCAGCTCCATCTCTGACATGGAGGACGGGGTCATGAGGAGGGTCACCACCACCACCAAGAGTACCATCATCAGGAGGCCCAATGGAGACAAGCTGTCAGACGATGGGAACCAGGTCCAGAACATGCCAGACTTCCCTGCCCAGGTGGACCTCCCTCGCAGCCGCAACATGGAGGATGATCTGATCCAGACAGCCCGGGGCCTCACTGACCTGGAGATCGGCATGTACGCCCTGCTGGGGGTCTTCTGCCTGGCCATCCTGGTCTTCCTCATCAACTGCATCTCCTACACCCTCAAGTACCGCCACAAGGAGCTGTCCATCGAGGGCCAGGAGAGCATGAACCACGCCCACGATTGGGTGTGGCTGGGGAATGAGGCAGAGCTGCTGGAGAGTCACATGAGCCTGTCCCCACAGCAGGACGAGCTTACCTCCATGGTGGACTGCAGCGCCGGGCTGGAAGAGGGCAGCCACCTGCTCAATGGGGGCTCTTCCCAGAAGAACGTGCAGGGCCAGGTGCACCGGGCGGCAGACAGGGCGTGCTGCACAGCCACGGCCAAGGACAGCAAAGAAGACTCGCCGACCACAAAGAGGAAGCGTGTGAAGTTCACCACTTTCACCACCATCCCACCAGACAATGGCTGCCCCACTGTCAGCACACTGAGCATGGGCCACAGCCAGGACATTAAGTGGGTGTGCCAAGATGTAGAGCTGGGGGACTCCAAGGAGCTCCGGAACTACATGGAGAGGTTAAATGACAGTGCTTTAAAAGAGGTGCTGTAGTCCGTGTGCTCAGTGCACTTATAGCGAACTCACCCTTATGCCTTTCACAGTGAGCTGGGCCTGGACAGCACCTAACGCTGAACCCAGAAGAGGTTGAAATCTGGAAGCAACATTTTTGTGAATCACGTGGGACTGCCAAAGGGAAAATGAACTCAAGAGGACAAAAATAGTAATGATACCACACAGGACTAATGGCAAATCGTTAACTTGAAAATAAACATATAATTTTTAGATAAACAAATTATCTCTTAATATCATCCTACCTTTTAATCATTATTTCATGATGGTTCTTTTGTAGGTAGACTCAAGCCATGTTCCCAGACTAGCTCTGCATTACTGACAAAACTTTGAAATGTTACGCAGATGATGACATGTAGATTTAAGAATGTAAATGAACAAATATTCAAGATGTGTATATAAAGTACTCATAGAAAGGTTTTGGAAGTTTTGTAACATTTTGAATATTGATTTCCTATTCCACATCCTGTCGTTTTTTTGTTTTTTGATAAATGTCTGGCCCCCCAGGATAGACCAGAGCCTACAGAACGTCCTGCATGTGGTTTGAAATAAAGGCACAAATTTTAGGTTAATCTTTACCAGAAGACACAGAGAAACGGCTGTATGTATATACTGAACAGTCCTCCTACAAGGCATTGTATTGTTGCTCTGTATATTGTATTTTCATAACTGTCATTTAAAGAACATACAACAATGTAGCGTGCGTGTCCACTTCAATCCACCAACCACATGCAAATACATTACACACGCCAGCATAAATTCCTTTTTCCTGCCCACTTTCTTCAATGACTGAATGGAGATTAGTGCTTTTCCAGGTTATGTCTTCATATAAGCCACACAGCACAAATCCCGTTCGTACCCTAATATGGTGTAGGAATTGTAATTGACTACAAAAATTACCAGGAATGGAATCATTTCACAAATATTACATTTCCATGATAAAGAAAAATTAAGCCACTGGAAGTCATTTTCTGCTCTTCTATTTTCAGAATTTAGCCAAACATACTTTAATTACAGTGAACTCAACAGTATATTTGACCAATCCATTAAACTTGGCAGCACAACATCTAGATTTGGATAAAGGATGAATCTGTCACCAATTATTCTGCCAGCAACTATTAGTGCTTCTCAAATCAAAGTTTATTGGTCGTGTACACAGTTTAGCAGATGTTATAGCGGGTGCAGCAAAATGCTTGTGTTACTAGCTCCTAACAGTGCAGTAAAATGTCAAACAAGTACACAAATAACAAATAATACAAAACTAGAAACAAGAAATCAAGAATGTCAGAATGAATCCAATTAACAACCCAAATAACACTGATAACATGATGCCTACTGCATGAAATGGTGATTACATTGATTAATGATTGGACTATAACTCAAATTAAATTACTGTAAGCATTTGCAAAAATACCAATTATGGTCTAATTAACCCATGTCTTGGAGCCTGCAGAAATGCTTGGCGAGGACAAAGTGGAATTGGATTTCCACTCGCTCTTTTGAAATGGAAAATTCCCATCATGAACCCTAATAAATAAATAAAAAGCCTTCTAAAGTGGGTGGGGAAAGAGGTTCAGAAAAAACATACTTCAAATATGAATCCGTTAGCTAACCAGAACAGTCATAATATCAACTTGAGGTCAATAATCAATGTGAGTTTGTGAGATCATGTTGAAATATCTGTTGCTGGGAAGTAGATGCTAGTCCGACAACGAGCAAACACTCCTCTAAAACAGACAGATGAGCCAGCAAATTACAGAAATATCCTTTATATTGCTTAATTAAAAACACTGCTAGTTGTTGCGTCAGTGTCTACAAGCCCCGTTGAATAGTGCTTTCCTGAAAGGTCCTGTGCACCAGAGGAGGTTGGTGGCACCTTAATTGGGGAGGACAGGCTCGTTGTAATGGCTGGAGCAGAATAACTGGAACGTGGTTTCCATGTGTTTGATGCCATTCCATTCGCTCCGTTCCGGGCCATTATTATGAGCCATCCTCCCTTCAGAAGCCTCCTGTGCTGTGCACTGACAGGGACCCTCCTCATTCCTTTATTCATTTAGTTCAAGTAGCTTGTCTACTTGATTCCCCGCAGCTCCTACGGTTCCTCTATTGATCTTACGCTCTATGTTGAATGAAAACACCAGATGAAATAAAGGCCTTACCTCCATCGCTCTCTATTTCTCTCCCTTCCTCCCTCTCCATCTGTTTCTCTCTCCTCATCTCCTTCTTTGTCTCTGTTTCTCCACTGTCCTGATGAATGATTCTTTCTTTTTTCTTCCCCCATGTGATTTGGCCTGTGTTGTGGCTCTATCAGTGGAGCGGAGGGGGATTGATGTGGGGGTTGTGTGCAATGCAGTGCGCTGGGACGGTGAACGCTGTGCACAGCCTGCGGACTGTGATGGGCGCAGAAAGCCTAGTAGGAATTTAACTGTCAGCCACAAGGGACATGATTGATAGAGGGCCCTCTGTAATTAACACACCACTGTGACTTTCTTTTCTGTGTCCACTGCCCAGTGGTGGCTTCGGCCTTGTGTTTGGAAACAGGAATACCTACATGACATTGAAGATATATTGAGTGTACTCAGGGTTTTCTAGTCTTTGGAATGAGGGGTGTGAGGCTTGTTTTTATTTGCTTTGTAGTCCAGGCAAACGGAAATAAAACTCCAAAGGCTCCACTTGGATAGACTTAATTGAATTAATCATGTGAGACCAGCAGTACACTCCCAGTAAATGATTAGCTGTTCTGTTCTCCCTGTGGTAGTGACGTCCAGGGCCTGTGTTTTCTCTCTCTGAATTCACTGATTGGTGTAGCTTATTGTTTTATATCTAATCCCAAAAATATTTTCCTATGCTTTGTAAAAAACAATGCACTGCCTTATACTAACAAACACATACACACTCACACCAAACGCAGTTAACGCACACACACCTCATACCATTTGAGGTAGAGGAGTAGCTGTCAAGGTCAGCTTGACATTCCGGTCAATTATTATTTTATTTTTTTACAGATGGAGCCACAGGGAATTGCAGACGACATTGTTCATAAACACAACCCTGGTGCCTGAGCCAAGTAGCTATGCCTTGTAAACAAAGACTCCCGCCTGACCTGTGCACCTCAGCGGGAAACAAACAACAAAATTCCCCCCTCTTCCCCACCCCCTGGATCCACTGCAGTAAGTAGCAGTAACGACTCAAACACCCAAAGGCAATGAAAGACTGGCTGGCAAAAAGCCTCCAGCTGCAAGATGAGGGGTGCACCCAACCATGTCATATAGATTAATAGTGAGGCTTGTGGGAAAATGTGGCAGAGCAGCATATCAGCCAGCACTCCAAGACAGGGTGGGGCATTTTTCTGCCTGTTTGAAAACAAGTGAAGGTTACAGGGCCCGAGAGATATAGATAACTGCCAAAATAATGGAAACACTTGAGTAAATGAGTTATACAAAGTACAGTGCTGTGAAAAAGTATTTGCCCCCTTTCTAATTTTCTCTACTTTTGCATATTTGTGATACTGAATGTTATCAGATCTTCAACCAAAACCTAATATTAGATCAAGGGAACACAAGTGACCAAATAACACAACAATTACATATTTATTTCATGTGGTTCTCTGTAACTCAGCTGGTAGAGCACGGCGCTTGTAACGCCAAGGTAGTGGGTTCGATCCCCGGGACCACCCATACACAAAAAAAAATTTATGCACGCATGACTGTAAGTCGCTTTGGATAAAAGCGTCTGCTAAATGGCATATTATTATTATAAACTAAGTTATGCAACACCCAATTCCCCTGTGTGAAGAAGTAATTGCCCCCTTACACTCAATAACTGGTTGTGCCACCTTAAGCTGCAATGACTCCAACCAAATGCTTCCTGTAGTTGTTGATCAGTCTCTCACGTCGCTGTGGAGGAATTTTGGCCCACTCTTCCATGCAGAACTGCTTTAACTCAGTGACGTGTGGGTTTTCAAGCATGAACTGCTCGTTTCAAGTCCTGCCACAACATCTCAATTGGGATTAGGTCTGGACTTTGACTAGGCCATTCCAAAACTTCCAATTTGTTGCTTTTTAGCAATTTTCATGTAAACTTGATTGTGTGTTTTGGATCATTGTCTTGCTGCACGACCCAGCTGCGCTTCAGCTTCAGCTCACAGACGGATGGTCTGACATTCTCCTGTAGAATTCTCTGATACAGAGCAGAATTCATGGTTCCTTCTATTAAGGCAAGTCGTCCAGGTCCTGAGGCAGCAAAGCATCCCCAAACCATCACACCACCACCACCATGCTTGACCTTTGGTATGATGTTCTTACTGTGGAATGCAGAGTTTGGTTTTCGCCAGGCATAATGGGAACCATCTTGTCCAAAAAGTTGACTCAAGTTTGCCAAAAAGCACCTGGATGATCATCAAGACTCTTGGAAGAACGTTCTATGGACAGATGATTCAAAAATATAACTTTTTGGACGACATGGTTCCAGTAATGCCTGGCGAAAACCAAACTCTGCATTCCACAGTAAGAACATCATACCAAAGGTCAAGCTTCACAATTCTATTTTTTTTTTACATTTCTAGTCTGTCTATCGACCCGCTCAGTTTTCCACCACAAAACACCAGAAAATGGCGATAAAAGTTGAACCAGCTCACCTCCTTTTACTCTATGATTTGACTATTAGATGATCAATGTTTTTTTTAAAGGAATAGTTTCACCATATTAAAACGAGAGTTCAGTTAATGTAACAGGGTTGACCTTAAATTGAGGGACAGATGTAAGTGAATCACCAATCACATGAAATAAATAATAATCTTCAGAAATTACTTTGTCAAAGCAACAAAATAACTAGGGCTTTACAATGATGGTGAAACTTGGAGACATTTTGGGATTAAGTGGGTTAAAATCTTCCTAGAACTGACACAGGGTTGACGGAGGAACATGTCAAAATGTTGAATTTTGGCACTTTAGCAAGCCTTTATTCATATTAAATATCTGATT